CTCTTACGGGGAAAGACCATTACCCTCGAGGTTGAACCCTCGGATACGATAGAAAATGTAAAGGCCAAAATCCAGGATAAGGAAGGAATTCCTCCTGATCAGCAAAGACTGATCTTTGCTGGCAAGACACTGGAAGATGGACGCACTTTATCTGACTACAACATTCAGAAGGAGTCTACTCTTCATCTTGTGTTGAGACTGCATGATGGTGCTAAGAAGAGGAAGAAGAAGTCTTACACCACTCCCAAGAAGAATAAGCACAAGAGAAAGAAGGTCAAGCTGGCTGTCCTGAAATATTATAAGGTGGATGAGAATGGCAAAATTAGTCGCTTTCATCAAGAGTGCCCTTCTGATGAATGTCGGGCTGGAGTGTTTATGGCAAGCTACCTTGACAGACATTATTGTGGCAAATGTTTTCTGACTTACGGCTTCAACAAACCAGAAGACAAGTAACTGTATTAGTTAATAAAAGACATGAACTAAAAAAAAAAAAAAAAAATGCCAGATGTAGTGGCTCATGCCTGTAATCCCAGCACTTTGGGAGCCCAAGGTGGGCAGGTGGATCACCTGAGGTCAGGAGTTCGAGACCAGCCTGACCAACATGGAGAAACCCCATCTCTACTACAAATACAAAATTAGCCAGGCGTGGTGGTGCATGCCTGTAATCACAGCTACTCAGGAGGCTGAGGCAGGAGGGTCGCTTGAAGCCGGGAGGCGGAGGTTTCAGTGAGCTGAGATCACACCATTACACTCCAGCCTGGGAAACAAGAGCGAAACTCCATCTCGAAAAAAAAAAAAAAAATTAATTACTAATGGTTTCATAGTTTTTTTTTTTTTTTTCCTCTAAAAATCAGAACAGATCCTGTGTTTGATCTTAGACATTGTAGACTAGGAAGGGGAGCTTTTTTTTTCCTTCTTAACGTTTTTGCTGGAACCCTAGAGTTCAGTCTCTTGAAGGAATGTTGTTGGAGGACGTGAACATATCAGAAAGGAAGTAGCAATGGACTAGTATTCGGCAGTAAAAAGGAATGAAGAACAGATACATGCTACAACATGGAGAAACCTTGAAAAGTTATGCTTAGAGAAAGAAGCCAGTCACAAAAGACCATGTATTATAGGATCCCATTCATATTAACTGTTTAGAATAAGAAAATTCATAGAGACAGAAAATAGATTAGCCATTGCCTAGGGCTGAGGGACATTGAGGGGAATGAGGGTGACTGCTAAAAAGGTACAGGGTTTCTTTGGGGGATGATGAAAATATTTCTAAAATTCTTGTGGTGATGGCTGCACAGCTGGGGATATACAAAAAGTCCACTTTAAATGGGTGAACTGTATGGAACTATGATTATTATTGGAGGCAGGGTTGCCCAGGCTCTGTTGCCCAGGCTGGAATGCAGAGGCATGATCTCAGCTCACTGTAACCTCTGCTTCTCAGGCTCAAGCGATCCTCCCACCTCAGCCTTCTGGGTGACTGGGACTATGGTGTGCACCATCATGCCCAGCTAATTTTTGTATTTTTTGTAGAGACAGGGTTTCACTATGTTGCCCAGATAGGTCTCAAACTCCTGGACTCAAACGATCCACTCGCCTCAGCCTTCCAAGGTGCTGGGATAACAGGTGTGAGCCAGTGCACCCAGCCTCATATGTGAATTATATCTAAATAAAGCTGTTACCAAAAGAAAAAAAAAGGAAAGAAAGCACACAAAGAAAGGAGGGAGCAAAGGAGCAGAGGTGGTAAGTATCATCTCTAATTTAGGGAGCATAGAATGGGTCAGTCTGGCTGGCATTTTAAGAAGCAGTTAAGAATAAAGCTGAAACCAAACAACAAAGGGCCAAAGAATTTCACGTCAAAGACTTCGGACTTCATCTTACAGCTCTGAGCTGTCAAAGGTAGTAGCCACTAGCCATATGTGACTACTGAGCACTTAAAATATGGCTAGTCCACACTGAGGTGTGCTGTAGGCATGAAATACACACCAGATTTTGAAGACATAGTAAAAAAAGTATGTTAAATATCTCATAACTTTTGCAGTGATTACATTTTGAAATAACATTTGGGATTTATTGGGTCAAATAAAATATATTGTTAGTCTTACTTTTTAAAATCATGTTTATTTGCAGGGCAGAGTAGCACATCCATGTAGTACCAGCTACTCAGGAGGCTGAGGGAGGAGGATCACTTGAGCCCAGGAGTTTGAGGTCAGAGAGAGCAACATAGCAAGACCCATCTCAAAATAAAAGTCTATAAAATCAACTGGTGCAGCGGCTCATGCCTGTAATCCCAGTACTTTGGGAGGCCAAGGCAGGAGGATTGCTGAGTTCTAGATCAGCCTGGGCAATAAAGTGAGACTCCATCTCAAGAAAGAAAGAAGGAAAGAAAGAAAAAGAAAGAAAGAGAGAGAGAAGAGAGAGAGAAAGAGAAAGGAAAGAGAAAGAAAGAGAAATGGAGAAAGAAAAGAGAAAGAGAAGCGATAGAAAGGGAGAAAGAAAGGGAGAAAAGAGAGAAAAAGAAAGAAAAAGCAAGCAAGAGAAAAAGAAGGAAGAAAGGGAGAAAGAGAAAGCAAGAAAGGGAGAAAGAGAAAAAAAGAAAAGAAAAAAGAAGGAAGGATGGAGGGAGGGAAGGAAGGAAGAGAAAATGTGAAATTACATATGTGGCTCACATTACATTTCTATTACATAGTGCCATTGTAGACAGTGGGAAGGCATTAAGGATTCTTGAATTAGAACAGGGGTCAGCAAATATTTTCTGTAAAGGGCCAGATGGGAAATATTTAGGGCTTGAGGGCCATATAGCCTTGTTGCACCTGTTAAACTCTGCTGTTGTACAAAAGCAACTATAGACAATAATGTAAACAATTAGCATAGCTTTGTTCCAATGCAACTTTATGGACACTGAAATATGAATCTCATGTACTTTTCACATCATGAAATATTGTTATTTTGATTTTTTCCCAATCATTTAAAAATGCAAAAGCCATTCTTAATTTGTAGACTATCTGAAGACAGGTGGTGAATAGGATTTGGCCTGCAGGCCATAGTTTACTAACCCACAAGTTAGAGTTAAGCTGAAGCCTCTGAAAATCTCTTTCAAGCACCAATACCATTGGTGCTCTCCCCACATACAACCTCACAGTGCTTGGAAAATTCCTCTTTGCAAACAGCATGGATTCGCGTAACATTTGATCTGGAAGGGACGGCAGGGATCAGGTACTCCTAACTTATCATATTACATTTGAGGAAACTGAGTCTCAGAGAGGTAAACTCATATGAACAAGGTCACATTGCAGTGAAGAGGTTCCAGGTAACGGGAGTAATTGTGAGACTATCTGGCAGCTGGCAAAAAAGGAAAGGTCTGAGGTTAGACTGAGTACCCAGGCTCTATGAGGGGCTCTAAACTCTAGCTCATCCTTCCACTCATTCATTCATTCTTTCGTTTACCACTTGTTCCTTTTTTATTTTTTGTCCTTTGAGACAGGAGTCTTACTCTGTTGCCCAGGCTGGAGGGGAGTGGCGTGATCTCAGCTCACTGTAAACTGCACTTCCTAGACTCAAGCCATCCTCCTGCCTCAGCCTCCTGAGTAGTTGGGACCACAGGTGCACAACCACCACACTTGGCTAATTTTTGCATTTTTTGTAGTGACAGGTTTTCACAATGTTGCCCAGGCTGGCCTAGAACTCCTGGGCTCAAGTGATCCACCCACCTCAGCCTCCCAAAGTGGATTATAGGCAGGAGCCACCATGCCCATTTTCTTTCTTTTCCTTTCTTTTAACCTTATTTTATTTTTAGAGACAGGGTCTTGTTCTGTCACCCAGGCTAGAGTGTAGTGGGGCGATCATGACTCACTGCAGCCTTGATCTCCTGGGCTCAAGCCAGCCTCCCACCTCAGACTGCTGAGTAGCTGGGACTATAGGCATGTACCACCACACCCAGCTGACTTTTTATTTTTATTTTGTAGAGACGAGGCATTGCTTTGTTGCCCAGACTGGTCTTGAACTCCTGAGCTCAAGCTATTTACCCACTTCAGCCTCCCAAAGTGCTGGGATTACAGGGATTACAGGCATGAGCCACCATGCCCAGCCCATTACTTATTTTTTGAGACTGTCTTGGTGCCAGGCCCTATGGGAAGCTCTGGAAAACCAGACATTAATTAGATTTGGTCACTGATGTTGAGGAACTCATAGGATAGAAAAAATATATTTTAAAACAGATAGCTTGGGGGAGGAGGGAGGGCACAGATATGCTGGAAGGGTAAGGGAAAAAAGTCTATGAGGAAGTGTCGCCCAAGCTGTGATAAGACAGGTAAGAATTAACCAAGTGAAGGTGAGAAGAGTGTTATAGGCAGAAGAAATAGCATGTGCAAAGGCCTGGAGCTGTGAGGGTCCCAAACGCTCAGGGAACTCTAAGTAGATCATGGTGTGGTGACTAAGGAGGAGCCAAAAATGGGAGAGGTGAGCCTGGAACGTCAGGAGGACCCACACCATGAAGATCTTCTGTGTGAAGCTAAGAAACTTCATCCTGATCACACGAAGTAGTGAGGAAACACAGAGAGGCTTTAAACAGGGAAGTAACAGTCAGATTGAGTTTTAGAAAAAAATCACTTTGGCAGCTTGCCAGGCAGAGAGGAGGGAAAAAGATTCCACAGGGAAAGAACAGCCTGCGCAAAAGCCTGGAAGAACGCAAAGACCAGTGACAACGAGTGGTCTGGTGTGACTCAAGCATGCAATGCACGGCAAGGAGCAAAAAGACAGGAGCTTGGGAGGGAAATGTGCACAGATGGTCAAGGGGCTGAAATTCCAGGCTGAGGAGCTTGAATTTAATTCTTCAGGTACTAGACAGAGGCAAGAACCTCATGGGACTAAATGTGAAGGTAGAACACAGACCAAAGGTCAAGTTTTCCTAGCTCTGCCATTTATTAGTTAAGCCTTCATTTCCACAGAGGTACAATGGAGATAACAGCCATGAGGATTAAGCAAAATAATACATGAAAAGTGCTTATCGTTTTCTTTCTCCTCTGCGAGCTTCCAAGATGACAAAGAAAAAAAGGAACAACGATCGTGCCAAAAAGGGCCGCGGCCATGTTCAGCCTGTTCACTGCACGAACTGTGCCGGATGCATGCCCAAGGACAAGGCCATTAAGAAATTCATCATTTGAAACATAGTGGAGGCCGCAGCAGTCAGGGATATTTCTGAAGCGAGCGTCTTTGATGCCTATGTACTTCCCAAGCTCTATGTGAAGCTACATTACTGTGTGAGTTGTGCAATTCACAGCAAAGTAGTCAGGAATCGAACTCGTGAAGCCCGCAAGGACCGAACACCCCCACCCTGATTTAGACCTGCAGGTGCTGCCCCACGACCCCCGCCAAAACCCATGTAAGGAGCTGAGTAAAAGATTGAAGACAACTATTCTCTGGAGAAAAATAAAATGGAAATTGTACTTGATATTGCCTATTAAGTGTATCTGTGCCAGAAAGGGTGGGGATTTTGTGTGTGTTAGACCAAGTGTGAAATAACAAATAGTATTTTCATGGGGAAGAAAGCTTATTTATGTAATCAATTTTTTTTGTTGGGGGTGGTGGGAGATGGAGTCTTGCTCTGTTGCTCAGGCTGGAGTGCAATGGCGCTATCTCAGCTCACTGCAACCTCTGCCTCCTGGGTTCAAGCGATTCTCCTGCCTTGACTTTCCAAGCGCTAGGATTAGAGACGTGTGCCACCACACCCAGCTAATTTTTTGTATTTTTAGTAGAGATGGGGTTTTACTCTATTGGCCAGACTGGTCTGGAACTCCTGACCTCAGATAATTCACCCCTTAGGCCTCCCAAAGTGCTAGGATTACACGCGTGAGACACCATACCTGGCTATTCATTTAAATTAAACCTTGTTTGCAGTCATGTCCTTGGCCTCACAACTTGCATAGCTGTGTGAAATAAAAAGTTTAGGCATCTGTTTAAAAAAGAAAAGAAAAGAAAAGTGCTTATCATTTTTTTTGTTTTGTTTTGTTTTGTTTTTGTTTTTGTTTTTTGAGACGGAGTTTCGCTCTTGTTATCCAGGCTAGAGTGCAATGGCGCAATCTTGGCTCACCGCAACCTCCGCCTCCTGGGTTCAGGCAATTCTCCTGCCTCAGCCTCCCGAGTAGCTGGGACTACAGGCACGCGCCACCATGCCCAGCTAATGTTTTGTATTTTTAGTAGAGAC